TTCTATAAGTCGAAAGGAGACTGCGACCATACCCGAGGCCACAACATCTTGGTCTTCACATCTTAAATTAGTGATAGTTTCATCTTTAAATCTGATTACACAAAATCTCTGACTATTTCAGCTTTATGTTTCCCTGCCGCTAACCATAACTTTATGTTGAATCTTAAATGATGAAGATTTTTCAGTTTTGGATAAACGCTGTCTTACAAAGCAACTCTAAATGAGTTAGTGTAACTAGGCGTTTTATTTCGAAGCAAATATTGCTTAGATGAGATTCGTGAATTGCCTATCCATCCGAAAATAGAAAGTTGATTGTCTTAGAGTGACGACTGTTGGACCGTGCGACGAAGTCCTCGGCTCTCCTGCCACTTATGGCAGTTTTTGCCGGTTAATCTCTCACATGTGACCCAAATCGCCAGAGAATGTTGGCTGTTTTTCCGAAGGTACACTTTGATTTGAGGTATTCGTAGTCTGCAAATTGAAGTATTTTCGATCCATTCACCTCGTTTCCTATTTCAGAGCTTTGGATTCATAGGTCGGTACAAGCTACTGAGGATTGGTAGGTGTCCCTCACATAGACATTATCACATGAACACAAAACCTTGTAGCTTCATGATCTGGAATGGGGACCTAAAATTCTCGGAAATAAAGCAGAACAGAGGAACCTGATCATTTCTTGTGTAACCTGGTTCAACTTGAGCAAAATAATGTATAATAAATTCTGAATTTGACATCTCATCTGGGACTTGCTATAAGTGAGTATCACTAGCAGTTTTTACTTATATACATATTTTACATGTTTGACAACATAGTTAACGAGTACGATGATATTTTATTACTTATACTATTTTTTAACGTCTTCATTGCATGCTCGTATATATTTTTTAGTCTAAAAACCAGGTCAAAGCAAATTAAAGAAAATATTGAAATTGCTTCGAGAAATCTTGATAAAATGAACAAAGCTCGAACCGAAGCCAAGGAAGGTATTCAGAAGAAAGAAGCACTTTTGAATGAGAAGATAAAGACGTAAGTGACCTTTCCTAAATATATGTCTATGTAATTGCTTAAGGCAACTATACAACTTTACGATGTATTAATGATGTACAAATTTAGCCAATTTTTCTACTGCTATTCACTTTTGGTGATATATTTCTTCCTCTGATTAAATGTAAAGAATTTTCGAGCAAGCTATTTGCCGAACAAAATGCGTATAATTAAAATGCAAAGGTGAATATATGTACTTTATTTTTATAACATTTTTTCTGATTTCATAATCCCCATGGTCAGGATATCGGGTTACCTTGGAGAGACAGAAGCATGGAAGCAGAGAGTTGACACAATAAACCAGCGAGTGAAACAGGTCCAGGATACTAATTACGGTTTAGTGGAACAATCAAGTCAATTGCCAGATCTAACCAATCAAGTTAAACAATTGGAAAGCGTAATGGACAAGTGGAGCGAGGCTAGACAAACAGTGAGCTGTAACTTTAACTTTTTTTTAATGTTACTGTATGTAACTTAATATATCTTATTAATTAATTAATTTTTTTTCACATGAGTTATCAAAATTATACCACCATAACTAGAACATTAAATTATCCGAGATGGGTTTGGGTAATTCAACTATTTTTAGTTTGACCTTCCACAATTTAAACAATAAAAGATCTTCCGATGTCGTTAAATCTCACCTAACCTAAATTTTCGACATTTATTATTCTGTATAAAGCAATATTTTCCGGTAAAATCGTAAACAAAGGTTTGTCCTTTCGACGTGAGTAGTATGCAAAATGTAAAATAGCCAAAGTCTGGCCCGACCTGAAGATCACATCTGACTTAGGACACATTTACATCAACGTTGTGCGCCAGGGTAGCAACGATGCCACTGGATAAGCACGAACTATATTCGAATCCCGTTTTTGAGGTAAAGCTTAATAGAATTCTATGGTATCTTGAGGTTTTAGTATTCAGGTTTCCCATCAGCTCAAGGGATCCAAAGGTGACTATAGCCAATAGAAACTAAAAATAAAATATTTAATTATTTAATAACTAGTTAAATCAAGTATTCGTTAATCATTATCTAATCTATATGATGTATAGGTAGCTTCGATAGTAATCATTTAGTATTTATTTATTTAAATTAGCCCATTTAAATTGTACACATTTGTTGATGATTTCTTTATATTTTCATTTTCCTTACTCACTTTTACTTTGCATTATTGGCTAATGATTTTATTTTATTGCATCCTTATTCTTAAAAATTAGAGGTTTTGTGCTAATCATCTGGTTGAAATGAATAAAAATTATATTAAACTATTATGTTAGCCAAGTGGTTTAACAGAGTTATGTGAATAATAGTATAGAGTCTGATACAATTTCCGATGTCTGCGAGTTAGAAGGGACATGGAGACTTGAGGCATGCATTATGAAGATATCGCCTTTTCGATCACACTAATGCCTCGATAATGTCCAGATGACTGAGCCGATCCGAATAAAAAAAATTTTGGGGACAGTATACAGTTTTTGCTTTTTTAAGTTACCATCTTTATCAAATCACAACATTGGCATGAGATTGTTACTGGCCTTTTTTCTTAAAACGTCAAGGCTGCCCTAATTTTATCAAAACGTATTTGGCGCCAAGCAATGAATTCAGTGTTTATCTTCTTTCAAATACTTTTAAAAGCAGCCAAAGACCATTCAGACCGGTAGAAATAGAATCAGGGCAGCCTCATAGAGATTTTTGATCCCATTTCTGTTGACAACACAATTTTCATGCATTTAGTCGAAACATCTGACTGCACGTTATCGGTCTCTGGCCTCCGAACTCGAGGATCAGATCGACGCTCTGAGACCACAGTCGACTCAGCTCCGTGAGGCACTTGAAGCTCGCCTGAACCAGCGCGCTCTGATAGACCCAATGCTGAAGCAACTGCGTGTTTTGGCCAACCAGACTGCATTGGCTCAGAACATCAGTTGGCAGGCCTACCGAGAGGCACAAGAGCGTATGGGAAAGTTTAATAGTAAGTGGTTGACTTGGTGAATGTTTCATGTTCGCGCCAGAGTATAAACTAAGGGCGCCAATTTTCGAATTGCAATTTTACACCAAAATATACTTCTTGGTTATGATCAAATACTGTTAGCCTTCAAAAAGTGATGATAGTGACCATCCAGTTACATAGATTTATAATTGGAATTCTGAAAACCGTATCATTTTTGCCTAGGAAACTGTCCATTAGCAAAACCCAGATATATCCTGAAGAACCATTCGATTAAGTATGCAATCTTTACGATTTATTATGCCTCCATGAGAACAGCAATTCAATCTAAGTACCGGCAGTTATCGGTCAGATGACGGATTGTTGGTCTGTAAATAAAGGAAGCTATGTGGAACAAGAACTAAATTTTTCAAAAATTAAACTCTCGATTGTTTTCTTAAATGATAAACTTTTAATTAAATGATATTCAACCGGCGAATTTTTAACTGGTTTTATGTGTTTAGCCATTCACCATTCATCCAAACATTCTTCGGATAAGTGTGATTATGTGCGTTATTTAGCAATTCAAAAAGATGTCTTTAGTCGGCGAAATTCCCTAAATGCAATAATTCGTGTTATTTTGTTTTCTCCAGCGCTTTCAAGGTAAACAAAGTTTAGTATTATATGCTAAAATTAC